GTCTAGTTTAATGAAAAGAAGGACTAGGGGAGACATGATAGCAGTCTTCCAATATCTCAGGGGCTGCCACAAAGAAGAGGGAGTCAAACTATTCTCCAAGGCACCTGAGGGTAGAACAAGAAGCAATGGGTGGAAACTAATCCAGGAGAGAAGCAACTTAGAACTAAGGAGAAACTTCCTGACAGAAGAATTAATCAGTGGAACAGAAATTGCCTCCAGAAGTTGTGAATGCCCCAACACAATGCTCCAGTCTTTAAGAAGATGCTGGATAGCCATTTGTCTGAGGTGGTATAGGGTTTCCTGCCTAGGCAGGGGGTTGGACTAGAAGACCTCCAAGGTCCCTTCCAACTCTGCTATTCTATTCTATTCTAAATGTGGTCATAAGTCAAGGACTGCCTATAGCTTCCTGATTCTTAAATTCATTGTCCTATGCCGTGCAGGATAGGATCCTAAAGAACGTTCTGAAATTCTGTTTGAATTCCTTGACAACATTTAAGACTGCCATCCCAACTCTCTTGGGTTGAGGTAACAGACTCTTAAACCTTTTAATCTCTCTTCCCACAGCTTAGTTCTTAATTCTCTGATCCATCTTCGCTGTCCTTCCCTGACCCTTTTCTAAGTGGGATAGAAAGAGACACAGAATTATGGGGCTGGAAGGTACCTAGGAGGGCTTCTAGTCCACCACCACCCCACCCCCGCCCTTAGCCAGAGGGAGGGAGAGACAGGGCGGTCTCCCCAAAGCAGAACAGAGTGGATTTATATCTTTGAATGATTTGGAAATTATATATTCCTCCAGAAAAAAGAGGATTTTTTACAACACGCCACCGAAAGACCAAGTTGCATTTCTTCCCTCAGGACCCTGGCATGTGGTTAGCCAAGAAAAGGTAGGATGATGGTTTAGTCTCCAAAGGCCCTGAAGGCAAGAGAAGCAGCGATGGATGGAAACTAATCAAGGAGAGAAGCAACCTGGAATTAAGGAGGAATTTCCTGACAGTGAGAACAATTTAGCAGTGAAACAACTCGCCTCCAGAAGTTGTAAATACTCCATCACTGGAAGTTTTTAAGAGACTGGCCAGACATTCGTATAGAATGGCATAAGGTTTCCTGCTTCAGCAGGGGGTTGGACTAGATGACCTCCAGGGTCCGTTCCAGGTCTATACTGATTGATTGACCTTGGTATTAGGCCAGATCACATGGTGGAAACTCAATGGAACCCGTATTTCTTAACTTCAGCCATTTTAAGGCTTCTTCCACCTCTTTTGTCCTGCAATTTTCTTTAGATGATCTGCTTCTTCATTTCCTAAGGTGTCAAAATATTGGAAATAATTCAGACACTGAACAGAATGACGGAGTTGGAAGGGACCTTGGAGGTCTTCTAGTCCAACCCCCTGCTTAGGCAGGAAACCCTAAACCAGGGTGACATGAATTTCTTTTACCAAAATAAATAAATAAAAGCAAACCACTTCTAGCTGTTTCGCTTTGTAGGAATAATAACACCCCAAGCCTGTAACAGGGAAGACACTTGTATTTGCACCCAAGAAAAGAATATGCTTGCTTTCACCTTCTCCGAGGAAGTTTTTGTAGGCTAGATGTTACAAAAACAATCTGTGTTTCTAAATAGCAGTGGATTGCAAGACCTTGGGCTGAGCAAATGCCAAGATTAGCTTTCTCGCTTCTAAGGAAGTTTGTAGCAATTGAAGATTGAATTAGGTAACAGGAAGTTTGGGCAAACCTTGGAATGTACACAGTGCCTGGGCTGTGGGTTTTTGTGTGTGTGTGGTCCTTCCCCCAAATACAGAGGATGGGGTAGAAATTGGACAACCATTTGTCTGAAATGGTTTAGGGCAGTGTTTCTCAACCTTGGCAACTTGAAGATGTCGGGACTTCAACTCCCAGAATTCCCCAGCCAGCATTCGCTCAACCGTGGCAATTCTAAGATCCTGGCTGGGGGAATTCTGGGAGTTGAACTCTGCCCATCTTCCAGTGTTCGAGAAAGAAAGGCTGCAGCGGACTTACAGAAACCCCAAATCCAATTTGCATGTGAAAGACAGCAGCGAGTCAAAACTATTCATGGGGAAATTAGCATATGAAAACCCAAATTCCTTCTGCCTTTCCAGTAATTCCAATGCAGCAAAATATAAGCATTCTTTTACTCCCACAATTTAACTCTGGACTTGTATTTCACATTTTTGAATCACGCAAAGAGGGACTCTCTAGGCCAGGAATCTCCAACCTTGGCAATTTTTAAGACTTGTGGACTGGAACTCCCAGAATTCTCCAGCCAGCCTGGCTGGAGAATTCTGGGAGTTCCAGTCCACAAGTCTTAAAGTTGCCACGGTTGGGGACCCCTGCTGTAGATGTTGTACAATAAAACATGAGAATATAAAAAGAGTACATGAGATTTAAAAATTTTAAAGGAGCCACGGATGAATGCTGCTGAATTTAAATTGACATGCTATAAACCTTTTGAAAATTCAGATGAGTATCTTTCCACAGAAAAGGAGACTAGCCAAGCAGAAGCTCTTAACTCAGGCACAAAGTATCTGGGAATAGAAAAGTCTTTCATGGGGTTTATTATTAGTCATATCTTGACAAAGATTAAAACCTCCAAAAGAAAAAAAAAATCAGGACCTTTTTAACTTCTCTGGTTTTGAGCCACAAGTCACTGCAGGCATATATGGCACAAACTGCAACTTGACAAGAAAAAATACTTTCCTACTTCATAAAATAAAAATCCCACCTTATTATATTGAGCAATACAGGTGATTGGCACCTCAGCTACACAATGTTAAAAAAACAAAAATACCAGGTGTTGCATCTCCTGGAAAAGGTACATCATAAAGCTGAAAAACGATTCCCGTTTTGTGGAAAGAAATATATCTGGTTTAAACTGAACAAGACTGGGGGGGAAACCATTCCAGTATTAAGGTAAAGGTTCCCTTCACACATATGTGCTAGTTGTTCCCGACTCTAGGGGGCGGTGCTCATCCCCATTTCAAAACCGAAGAGCCAGAACTGTCCAAAGACGTCTCCGTGGTCCTGTGGCCGGCATGACTCAACCCCGAAGGCGCACGGAACGCTGTTTCCTTCCCACCAAAGGTGGTCCCTATTTTCCTACTTGCATTTTTTACGTGCTTTCGAACTGCTAGGTTGGCAGAAGCTGGGACAAGTAATGGGAGCTCACTCCGTTACGCGGCGCTAGGGATTCGAACCGCAGAACAGCCGACCTTTCTGATCGACAAGCACAGCGTCTGAGCCACTAAGTATTAATTTGAAAACCGAGAATGGGGGAATGCTAGCCTCTGACAGATATTCAAAATAAATGAATGAATAAATATTCAAAATAAACTAATGTGAACGTCTTAGGCCCCAGCCGAAAGAACCAATTATGCCAGTTCCCCCAAGCTGCCAGCGTTCCCTGAAAAGTTCTGAAGCGCTTACTTTGTCCACACCCATTCGCTTAAAACCTGCTTGTAGGACCTTGTAATTCTGGATGTATTCGTGCTCCAGCTTTGCTTGGAATTTCACTTTCTTGAGCGTGACGGAACCTGGGAAGAGCATGTCCATAAACTGACAATACGCAGCACCTGGCCAAGAGAGAGAGAGGGAGGGAGGGAGGGAGAGAGAGAGAAACATTCTGGTGAACATCAGATCCTAGCAAAGGTATTTAGGGCAAAAGACCAGAATCTCTGACTTCCTTGGTGGCTGCCAATCCTGTTTCCTGCGGGAGGCTGCGTGGCAGGAGAAATCCGTGGGAGGAACTGGATTCAAACAGTGGGGTGGGAGAGAATCTGGAGGAGGAGAAGAGACGCCTTTCTTTTATCTGCCTTACTCTCCACACAGCAGGGAAGGAGCCAGTTGAAGGTTATTTGAAGGGCCGAGTTTGTTGCAGGCAATCAAATCCAGAAAGCAGACACAGGTAACTGATTCAGCCGGATTCATTAACTTCTCTTTATATATAAAACACATGAAGTAAATATACAATACCAAAAAGCAGGTTTTCCAACGTAACACAAGCAAAACACAAGCAGAGGAGGGGAGTTGCAGTTTTAGTTTCAGTTCAGAGCAGCAGACTAGTTTAAAGCCCAGCACAGACTCAGAGCTTTAGTACAGAACAGCTAAGCCACACCCAGGCTCCTTGCTGCCTCCTTGTTGCTCACACAAGCAAATGCTGTTTCCGTTTCCAAACAGCCCTCATTGGCTGACCCAGTTACTAAGCCCTATTCCAGTTCATGAATATATCCACAGTGACCATCTTTTCCTAGCTACATCTATCCAAACCCCCCCGAGTGGGGAGACAAAGGATGTTATGGGACCCACAACCAAAGTGGGAGCTCCCCTCACTTAAGAACGTCCATCTGGTGGGACCAAGAAGGGCCTTCTCCAACGTGGCTTCCTCCCAGTTATTTGAAGGACCATCTTTTCCCAGTTACATCTACATCTAAAATGGAGCAAAACTCACTGAATGACTCTGTTACTTAGCTCTGGAAATTTTGGGACCAATCGTGGTCGTAATTCGAGGACTACCTGTACAGAAATTTTGGGGCTCAATTCAGGTTATAAGTCGAAGGACAGCACATGTCAGGTCTTGGCCTTGTGCAAGGGGTTAGGTGAGATGAGTAATTAAAAGGAAGCGGATTACAACAGCACATCAGGGATCTGGTCACTCAAGTTTTAACTGCTGAAAGGAACCGGAAAGGGCTCTGAGAAAGATTGAATAACAGAATTGGAAAGGACTTTGGAGGTCATCTAGTCCAACCCCCCCTCCCCCAAGCCAAGCAGGAGACCCGACACCATTTCTGACCGATGGCAGCCCAGTCTCTTCTTGGAAGCCTCCAGGGATGAAGCTCCCACAACTTCCGAAGGGAACTTCTCTTCCATGGGTTGATTGTTCTCACTGTCAGAAAGTTCCTCCTTATTTCCAGTTTCATTCCATGATTCCTTGTCTGGCCTCCAAATGCTTTGGAGAATAGCTTGACCCCTTTCCTTCTCTCTGGGGCAGCCCCTCAAATATTGGAAGATGCTCTCCTGTCTCCCCTGATCCTTCTTTTCATTAAACTAGACCTACCCAGTTCCTGCAACCATTCTTCCTATGTTTTAGCCTCCAGTCCCTTCATCATCCTGGTTGCTCTTCTCTGCACTCTTTCTAGAATCTCCACATCTTATTTTGCAAATCAGGCTGTTTTGAGAGCGTGTTGGAAGAGTTTTCAACTTCAACACTTTCAAAACGCTTGAAATAGTAAACGTGGAACTCGAAACACCAGTTTCACAATGAGGGAGAGGTAGAGCCGAGGTGGCGCAGTGATTAAATGCAGCACTGCAGGCCACTTCAGCTGACTGTTATTTGCAGTTCGGCTGTTCTAATCTCACCGG